TCCTTTTTCTTCCTTCTTCTTCTTCTTCTTCTTCTTCTTCATTCTTCTTCCTTTTTCTTCCTCCTTCTTCCTCCTTCCTCTTCCTACTACCTTCTTCCTCCTTCCTCTAGGGCCACTGCCGGGCTCACGCTTGGCCGCTATGGGCTGGGCAAAGGGCGCCGAGTACTGGGCGTGTCAAACCGATGGCCGGAGGCCGATCAAGGCGGGAGGTGGCGCCGGGGGGGGGGGGGGCGGGCGGGGCGGGCGCGCCTGCCGGGCGCCTGGATCCGATGGCCGGAGGCAAGGGTGGGAAAGAGGCCGCTGCCTTGCAAGGGGTTCATGGGTGGGTCGAGGACGCGCGGCCTGGTCGGGGCCGGGTGGAGCGGGCGAGCCAGGCAGGCGAGGCGAGCCAATGAGGCATGGCGGGCGGTGGGCGAAATGGTGGCAAGGGCGTGTCGTGTGTGTGGTGAAGTGTGTGTGTTGTGGAGGAGGAGTGTGTGGGCGCCCACACATTTAGTTAGTTTCCCCCCTTTGCCGAGTGCTGGGTCGGGCTGGCACTCGGCAAAGGCTTTTTTTTTTAAAATTCTTTGCCGAGTGCCACTTCCTGGCACTCGGCAAAGACCCTCTTTGCCGAGTGCCAGGGTCGGCATTCGGCAATTTTTTTTGTTTTTTTTGCCCCATTATTTTTTTGCAGCCTTAATATATTATTTAAAACTCCATGTTCAAATTTGGCACAATTTTGACTTTTTTTGCTATATTTCGTTAGTTTTTTTTTGTTTCGTTGAATTTTATGGAATATTTCAAATTTGACTGCAGGTGCATGGAATAATCGAATTTGGTCGTTCAAAAAATGATATTCATGATATTTGGTGTATGTTGAGGCCGTATCCAGTAACTCACATGGAATTTCGAGCATCTTGTTAACGTAACATGATGAGGTACCTGCGGGAAAAGTGTATTTAAATTATATAAAATCCGAACGAAGTCCGAAAATGACGAAACTTGTCGGGGCGTCATGTTATCACATGTAGAGTCTATGGTAAAAATTTGAGAAGGTTTCGAGCAAGTTGCGACGTCGGATGCCTAAAACCCAGACATCTCCACATGTGATCACTAATTTAAATACACTTTTCCCGCAGGTACGTCATCATGTTACGTCAATAAGATGCTCGAAATTTCATGTGAGTTCCTGGATACGGCCTCAACATACACCAAATATCATGAATATCATTTTTTGAACGACCAAATTCGATTATTCCATGCACCTGCAGTCAAATTTGAAATATTCCATAAAATTCAACAAAACAAAATATAGCAAAAAAAGTCAAAATTGTCCCAAATTTGAACATAGAGTTTTAAATAATGTGGGAAGGCCTCACAAAAAAAATGGGTCAAAAAAAATATTTTGCCGAGTGCCGGCCCTGGCACTCGGCAAAGAGGTCCTTTGCCGAGTGCCAGGAAGTGGCACTCGGCAAAGAAGGGATCTTTACTGAGTGCAGGGCCTTGGCAGTCGGCAAAGGCCCTCTTTACCGAGTGCCAGGGCCGGCACTCGGCAAAGATTTTTTTTTTAAATTTGACGGCGTGGGCGGGCTCGGCCGTCAAGTGCCATTTTTTTTTGCCGAGTGCCACTCTTTGCCGAGTGTTGCACTCGGCAAAGAGGGTTTTTGTCGAGTGCCGCCCTTTGCCGAGTGCCGGGCACTCTGTGGCACTCGGCAAAGCCACTCTTTGCCGAGTGCTAGACTTTGCCGAGTGCCACCCGGTCCGGCACTCGGCAAAGAGTGGCTTCGCCGAGTGCCCGATTTTTGGCACTCGGCAAAGCTGGCGGCACTCGGCAAATCTGCGTTCTCCCGTAGTGGATTCTTGAGATTGAGAATGATATTTCATCTCATACCTCCTAGCTACTCGCCTACTCCTTGCAAAACAAAGTTACCTAACTACACTCTAGCTACTTGTAGATTGTAGCAACAGGAAAAGGATAACGTGCATGCATGGACGCTCCAGGTGAAGCTGATAGAACGAAGATTCTCTATTTCTCTTGCGATGCAGACATTCTAATTAGTGCTTACAAAGCAAGGGATTTTGATCTAGAACATTCTCAGGTTCTGAATCTGATGCCTTTTTTTTCTTCTTCTCTCCTGTGCTGCACCTTTTCGAACTCTTCCATTGTTTATTCCTATCTATATTTGGTATTTCCTGCAAACTATTCCTATCTATATTTGGTTTTTCCTGCAAACTATGTATTTACAACAATAAACGAGAACCATATGTAATCAATGGAGTGTACATCTTTTAATTTGAGGCATGGGCAGAAAGAGTACGTACCTCGCTCATCGATCGGGGTTGGGCAACATGACAAGCATACGTACGTACGTTCCTGCGTTTTTATCGTTTTTCGCGTGGATACTTTTACTACCCAAATTAAAGCATAACTAACATAAACGTACTGTAATATCAAAAGCAAATAAAGTCCAATTAATGGGAGTAGCTAGGGATCAGCTCAGACCATCGGCATCATACTAAATGGGAAATGCTAGGACATAAGGACGATGATAGATAATCAAACTGACGAGTGGCGAGGCACCGCTATAATAAAATATAAATGCAAGGAATTGACGTATGTATGAGGGCAGCTACATGTTCCTATTCCAAAGCATGTTTTCAAGTTTGGTCCTCACGTTTCCAAGCATGTTCAAGATCAAGATTCATGGTATTTCAAGAACCAAAGATATAATTTCAAATATTATATTATTCCACAACAATAATACTGAGCATGTTTTTTCCAACTTAGAAATTACATTTTTCAAGCATATTTGCTGTGTCAAATTAAAGCTATCAAGGATTCTTTGTCGAACAAGAGAGGATTATATTAAATTTTTTAGTACTATAGGCCCCGCCCTTACGTTAAAAACATTGAAGCATAAGCAAATTACTACCGATAAACGCTACACATAAGTTCTCCACTCATCTTCTTCTCCAATTTTCTCTATTATCCATTGCAATGCTCCATTTCGCTGATGCAAGTTAGGACTTTGAGAAGCCAACGTCAATTTCTCCAACTAGCTAGATCTGGCAAACTGCCCCGGACATTAGAATTGCCTCAAGAGTCAACGTCTCGAAGCCAAATCTAAGACACATAACCCTAAGTCATCCGTGTTGTCAAAAGTGATTGAGGAGTAATTGACATCTGTGCCATCAAAAGTGATTGAGGAACATTGACATCAGCGCCATCGAAAGTGATTTGAGGAATGGAGAGCAAATGCCACAACTCTGAATCTACCAAAGATGGTACTCTGAGGCCATGAAAGGGGGGTGATGACTTAGGAACAAAAATCCCAACAAGTGGACATGCGCAAAAGCTTCCTCCCATTCCCATAAGGACCTTCCTACCTAGCTACCTTGGTGAAAATCTCATCAAAATTGATATGGTCGTCAGGGAAAGTAGCATGGAGGGCCAATGGGATTTATGTAGTTGGGGGTCCCCACACCTTGGCGCTGGCGAGATCACCGGATAGAGAGGAGGGTGGTCGATGGGTAGTTGTGGCAGACTAACGATGTTTGACTTAGGCTAGTTTCAGTGGGGGTTTCATCAAAGTTTCATTTGCATTTAATAAGCTCTCACATAGGTGCTTTTGATGATGTGGCAACATATTTAAGAAGAGAGAGAAGAAGTGAGTTTTATGAGGATGAAACACGAATATCAACTCTCTATGAGTCATGGAATTAAATGCCTATGAAACTATAGAATGAAACTCTCCATTGAGAATGTGTGTTTCATTCATGTTTCATTTCATTCTAGATGACATGGCAGTCTTGGAAACAACACCATGAAACTCTCCACTGAGACTGACCTTAGGATAAATCTAAATAGACTTATTACATTTCAGAACGAGAAGCGGTAGTTTCTGAAATGTGGGCAAAAACAAGGTGGGGTTGGCCGGTTGGGGAGGTTTATGGTTGGAAATTCTAGCACATGATAAAGGTATACATGTAACAAATTACTAGGAGATACCGTCCCATCCGGATGGGCCCAATGGACGTTTTCATGTACATAGAAATGTACTTCCAACTTTCCAATTTGCAATTGAATTGAATGAAATTTAAAAAAGGTTTTGCACAAAACTGGCAACCCAAACCAAGGTTAGAAAATTGATGCAGTTGTGATTGCCGTCCGCTTAGTTGGCCATAATGTTGCAATACAAGTCTCAAGTCTCAACTTACTGCTAAATAAATTTCATGGAGAAGAAAAGTTAGTAGTGGTAGTACTCCATTAAATTGAGGAATTTACATGCATGGCGCATAAAGTGCCCTACTTTTATGACTCATCAAGTTCCTTTTGTGAATTGTGAGTAACCAAACGGCCGGCCACTCCATCTTATGTTTGGATAGAATTCTTTCCTTTGCCTGCTGCTTATTAACAGCAGCTTCTATATGCTAAACACATTAGAACTCACAGTTTCAGACCACTAACTAGGAACATGAAGCGCTGCAACACTGCAACCTTGAAAGTTGAATCTGAGTATGATCCTCAAGAAGAAAAAGATTGCGAGAGCAGAGTAAAAATACACTGCAAATTGTGTGGATGTACATTGAGCCCCATGAGAGTACATAACGACTTGGAACTTGATCTGATCATATAACATATATACGTACTACCATAAACAGCCTAGAGATAAAATAAAAGATGTAAACAAATCATGCCTTACCATAACACCTGACTCTTCTGCATGCTTGCTGTATAGTTCTATGGCCCCGAAGGTTCACCGTCCAAATAGTGAGACCAAGAAGAGCAGGAGCACGAGCGCCACGCCCCACAGCGACGACGACCCTGCTGCGCCGCCGGCGCCGTACCTGTCCCCCGTCTGTCCAAATAGTGAGACCAAGAAGAGCACGAGCACGAGCGCCAGCGCCACGCCCCACGGCGACGACGACCCTGCGCCGCCGTACTTGTCCCCCGTCACCATCTCCGCGAGGAGGCACATGACACCGTCCCCTCCGCCGCCGCCGCCGGTCGCCACCCAGAGCTACGCCGCGATGATGACTATCAGCGGGGACAGGATGAGGAGGCGCCGGAGCTGGTCGACCAGGCTCTCCATCGCCGACTCGCACCACGTGTAGAGCGTGGTGGCCGCGATGATGGAGACCGTGACGAGGAGGATGAAGGCGTACACCGACGACGACTGCCCGCCGCCGCCGCGTACTCGCTGCTGCGGGTATTTGTAGTTGTAGTAGTACGGCGCTGCCGGCTGGTAGTACGGCGAGTAGTAGCCGCCGCCGCTCGCCATGTTGATGCAAAGGATCGGACTGGCAGAAAAAAATCTAGCTTCTTTTCTGAATATAAACTGGTCTCGCTCGCACTTGTTTGTTAGCTTAGCTACTGCTGATGATCAATGATGCTTTTGCGTTCATGGAGGCGGAAGGAGTTCACGGTTTCACCTATATATATAGATAGCAGAAGGAAGCTCGCGATGGGCAAGGGCTTTGGGAATGAGAGGGTTCCTTGGCGACGACGCTGACGTGCCACCAATGGTGGCCAGACACGTGGCGCCGACCAAGCGGCGATGAGGAGGGATAGATGATGGAGTGGAGGGGAGCATGGCTTGCAAAGTTGGCATCTTGGAGGTTTGTGTCAAGTGCATGCCATATTGCCATGCATGGATATGCCGCTTTAGTTAACGGATGTATGCATGGCAAATCTGGGGATCTCGGTCACTCCATGGAGCTTTCTTTGGATATGATTGATCCGAGCATAGCATATAAGCACTTTTGGCGCATCATTAGTTCGCTAACAACATATCCACCTGCTTTTGAGCTGATTATCGATTCTTTTTGCCAACGAACTATCATTAGGCGCCGCCTAATGCAGTGCGTACCTGGAACGACAAGCATGTCATGTGGCGTGCCTAATGATCAGGAGTGGGTGTGGTTTCTGCCCTTCTCTGCTTGTCATGGCCTTGCTTTTCACTGTGCTGAGCACCAGTGCGGCAGTGCCGGTGCCATGGACCATGGTCTTTGAAAAAAAAATGAAGCCATGCAAGGTTACGGGAGATCCCCAGAAGATCAGGACTACTCAGCCACACTTCTTCGGTTCTGGTCCAGATCGATCACCAGATGTGAAAGGACATGGTGACCACAGGACGCGTCCAGGTCAAACTCAAGGCATGCAACTCAAAACCAAGCACAAAAGGTTTCATTGGGCATCGTAGATCTTCTTTGTCAAGATGCCCTTGTATACGTGCTCGGTGCTGACGCGCGGCGCTGTACTTGGCACGAGAATCCGCCCATGGCCGGTGCCTGCAGTCCCTGCATATATATGAATGAAGAAATGTCACATGTAGATGTAGAGACCGAAACGAATCGGATTCATATGGAATCGGATCCGGATGTCACGTTTTAGATTCAAATACGGATACGGATCTTGTCGAATACGAATACAAAACAGATGTCTCATATTCTAATTTCTATTCAGATATTTACTCAATTCAACTCAAATTGCACATTGTTAAATTCAACATAGATGAATAAAATTTTAATACTAAATTCGTCGATAACCAAAGTGAAATAAAAATTAAAGTATACTTCTAATAATCTCCAATATCAAAGTGAACTAAACTATAATGGATAATATTTTTCTTTATCATTTTTTTGTAATTATAAAATTATTAAACAAGTATGTAGGTATATAACATAGACAATAATAGCTAACAGAAAATAATATAGTTATCAATAAATATTTAATAATTAAATATATAAATTAATCAATTGTTATTTATATAATATTTATCATGAAATTATAAATTATATAAAATAATTTATGTCAACAAAAAATAAATTAAAGTATTAAAATAATTTGCAACAACAAATATATTATATTTAAACTAAATTAGAAAATACTAGAATTAATTTAATGTTTATATATCATTAATAGTATTAAATTAATATTAAAGGTTACTTATAGATATACTACTAAATAGTTTCAATATATCATTACTAATTTTGAAATTAAATAATTATTAGTCACTAGTCATGGAAGAAAACTTTTCAAAAGATTCATTATACCTCGTTCTTCGTGGATGCGGATAAATGTCCATATTTTTGTCGAATACGGATCTAGAACCAAATAGAGAAAAATATTGAAAAAAGGATTCGGATACATCTATTTGGTATCCACATTATAAATGAATACAAATGTCCATATTACACGTTTTAGTGGATACGGATTCAGATAATTCGGATTTCCAGACATCCATTTCCATACCTCGCAGGCCATTGCTCCTACCCTCCTTTTTCCATTTTTTCTTTTTTCAGGACCGAGCACCACCACATGTAATTCCGTATCGGCCTAATTTTTCAACAAACAAGAAAACGTATCGGCCTAGCCTATATCAATTAGAAGAGATTATGTTCTGACCATATAATCGTCACTAAAATCTTCAGAAGTCAGATCGTTTACGTACCGAAACTGAATGTCACGTCACAATACTATCGTAGAACTGAAGCCCTTATGATTGTATACAAGATTTGGCAGTTTTCTTTTCTTCTCTTTTTTTAGTTAATTAATGTGTGAAATCTAAAAAAAACAATGGCTCAGATTTGTTTAAAATATTACCTCCTATCAGCTAATGGGGGTACTGTAGATTTAGCCAAACTAAAAATATATAGAATGAATGCAAGATGGAGTGCCCTCCGTGCCATGATAATTGATACGTAGTTGAGGCGAGATGATATGCAATGCCAATTAGTGGGTTAACGTGGAACTGGACTCACAGGCTCACACTAGTTATGTGAAAGATATGGTTTTCTACTACGTTTGTAACAATGCTTGGGACCAACTGAGAGTCCCCAGATTCCCCAGCGCCTCCGCCGAAGCCCCTCCGCCAGCCACTCCGCCAGCCTCGCCGCCGCTCGAGCGTGCTGCCCGGAGTCCGTGCGGCCACAAGGACGGTGGCGGCGAGGCCCTTTCCGTGTTCCCCTTCTTTTCCCCCGCAGCCTTCCTCTCCTCTCCTCGGTGTTGGGCTCGCGACGGCTGAAGCTGCATGGTCGCAGGGGCTGCTCCCTCGCCGGATCCGGCGGCCCCATGGCGGATCTCGCGGTGCGCGGCAGGCGGGTGCGCTGGCGGCTCCAGGCGACGACGCATCGGGCGGCGGCGTCAAGGGCCTCTTGGCCGGTGGGTTTCGCGTTCTGGTGCGGCCAAGGTCGGTCGGCAGCGACCATCACACACCGGATCCCGTCCACATTGCACCGGATCCGTGTCCCCGCTCAACCGCGCCCCGCCGACTTCGCTCCGCCCGGCGTGCTGCGGCACGCCGGTGGGGCCAGGTGGCGGCGGGCGGGTGGTGGCGGCGGCGGCGCTGCTCTGCGCCACGCCTCGCGCGCGCGCCTCCCCCGAGACTGCTGTTGGAGCCGCCGTTGGGTGGTTCCCGCGTCTCACCGGATGAGCAACAAAGGCTCTGTCGGTCTTCTCCGCCGTCAACACTCCTCCGACTCCGGTGCTCGTAGGGTGGGGTGTTTGGCGGTCGCGGGCGGACGGAGAGATGAGGGTGGTGCGCCGCGATGGCGTCTTGCCGCCATACATCGTGGTGGTGTGGGCGGCTGCTCTCTGGTGGCCGTCGTCGTCGGCGACGCCGTGGTGGCGTGGATGGCGCCGTCCCGCTTCGCTTTCGCAGATCCGCAGCGGCGTCATGGTGGCGAGGCTGATGTCGGTCGAAGGGCACACTTGACTCTCACGGTTCGTCGGCGGGGATGAGGTGCCATGGCGAAAGCTATACCCATTTGTTGGGTCGATAACGGCGACGCCTTTGGGCGCCGTTCTCTTCCTTGAAGCGCGATCGGAGGGCCCTCTCCCTCGGATTTGGAGGCGCCGCTTGGAGGGTGGTGCCGTGTCATGTTGTGGTGGTGTGGAGGCCGATTTGGTCCGCCGGAGCCGCTCTACCTTGTGTTGTGCCCGCTGCTTTCTCCTCTTCACTTTGGTCCGTCCCAAATTTCGGATGTTGGTGTCGCCGCGACCGCAGCGGGCTACCGGTCACTCGGGCGGTTTGACCTCGCGACTACCGGTCGCTTGAGGCTTTCTCTGACGCCTCCCTCGCAGTGGCTACCGGTCATCGGTACGACGTCTCCTTCGCAGTGGCTACCTGGTCACTGGCGGTTTGACCTCGCGACTACCTAGTCGCTGGAGGCTCTGGAGCTCGTTGTCTCCTTCGCAGTGGCTACCTGGTCACTGGCGGTTCTACCTCGCGACTTCCTGGTTGCTTGAGGTTTGCCACCGTGGCTGGACCCTCCTGGTTGGCGACCATTGTTGCGGATGTATCTCTTGTAGCGGCATAGCTTAGTTTCGGGGTTTTTTCTCTTGTTTTCTTGCTGTGTTCGCTGTTGTCTTGGGTTCGCGTCGGTAATCTTGGGATTACTTGCGACTCCTCTGTGTCAACTATGTGTTGCTTCGTGGTTTGTAACCTGTACTACGAGGGTTCTCTCGTAGCTGCGTCGTGTATCTGTTTGGATGTTCTCTACTTTCTCTTAATGAAATACGTGCTACAGGCACGTTCGAGAAAAAAGATACGGTTTTCTAAGAGATCGTTTGTTAATGTTGGGCACATCCGATCCCCTCGATGATATCGATCATCTCTTGGTTTTCTCAAAGAGTGGCTACAACACGTTCCGATAAATTAAAGGAGATGATCTGATATGCGCCTGCTTCAGTGTCATAATATTAACATATATAGCATTATTAGTGTAGATAGTGGTCAACCACGAATCAGCATATGTAGTTAAACATGCACCACGAGTTCCATTCCATCCGTGCTAGTTTGATGCATCGGCGTGTGATGAAGCCCGCACTGTATTCAAATGGATCACGCATGATCACTTAGATCTAAAAAATACTTTTTAATCAAAACTTTCCTTATTTATTCTTTGCCAAAAAATAACAATTATATAGGACCACATTATTTTGCAGCCTAGCTGCTGAATAGTATTGCAATTTTATTCCGGCGAGCTCTTTTTTTTTAACTAGAAGGTAGTAAAAAGAATTGCAATTTTACTACCCACGTTAGTGCATGCATGGGTTGTAGGATTGAATGAGCTGCTGTCGTTAAGTTAAATAAAAGGAAATTGCTAGCGTCAGGATGTCCAATCCAAGACGTTAGCATCGAACGGTGCTCCCGAACCGGTGCCTGATGCACCCATCCCACTCCAGAGGCCGTAAGGGGCCCACGCATGTGCGGGGACCACCCCGAGCCTGCTCCGTTTCACATGCCTGCATGCACGCAGCAGCAGCACGACCACCACCAGCAGGCACGTGATGCGGTGACCAGTGCCGGCCTGGAGAGGTGGCAGAGGTGCGACGGTCGAGGGCCCATGGGAGTGAGGGGCTCAGGCCCAGGTATACGATACCCCCAGGCCTTAGTACGTAGAATACCGCGTACACGAGCGTGGTGCGCCGCAGTAGCCGAATGCGAAGAGGCAGAGGAGTCATGGAGGGACGGAGCCACCGCAAACTCGACTCACCTCTCACGGAGTCACAGAGATACGGAACATATCACAAATTAGGACCGCGCACGTCCAGGCGGCGATCGGGGGGCAGACTGGCGACCGGTAGAGCACTCCAGGGCCTAGGCTGGCAAGCTCGACTCGATCAGCCGATCACTGCAGTCTGCAGCCGATCATCACTTCATCAATCATCAGTTCATCAGCCGCCGATCAGGCCCTAGCCCCTTAGGTATTTTTTTCCTTGATCGTTTTTTAATCCTGTAGATCTGTAGATGCACTTGATATTGAAGAACAAGGGTAGCAACAAGTTGATGATAATTTAAGTGAAGAAATTGATGCCAATGATGATGCTATAAAGAATAAAAATTTACAGCCTTTCCCTCAACCTGAAAATTCAATTAATGATGAGCAATAAGCTTCTATTCATGATGTCTTTGATCCTAGAACTTGGAGAAATCTTGATAATAAGGGTAGAGATATATTGATTGAAAAGGGGCCAGTGAGATACCTGTAGATGCTCTTAATAGACATTTTTCATATGTTTACTACTCCAAAAAGTTAACCAATGGTGAGGTGGCTAATAGAAAATGGTTGGTTTACTCTAAACATGTGGACAAAGTTTTTTTATTGCTGCAAATTGTTCAAATCAAGTCAAAGCAAAAGTTTGCTAGCACATGATAGATTTATATATAGTCTAGAGGAGTAGTTATATTGTATAAGATTTATAAATAGTCTATAGGGGCCGTCGCAATGAGTTCGCCAGAGGGCCCTCAAAATCCTAGTACCGGCACTGGCGGTGACCCACGGCGGCACGGTGACCTACGGCGGCGCACTGCCAGCAGCATGTACTTCACCGAGATCTACATTTGAAACATCTAAATGAAACACTTGCAACGTACGTCTGAAACAGATGAAACACTTGAAATATGCGCTTAAAACATGCGTGTATTGCCATAGCAACATGTGCAACATCGGATCTACTTTTGAAACATCCAGATACAACACTTGCAACATATAAAAGAAGATAAATGAAACACTTGCAAAAAACACACCTGAAGAACACTTGAAACCATAGCAAAACATAAGCAACATCCAAATAAAACACTTACAACATATGTGTGAAACATATGCAAAATCCAAATAAACACACTTGCAACATACGTTAGAAAAACAGATGAAACATTAGGAACATACGCTTTGCAACATACGTGTATAAACCATTGCAACAAATACAACATCCCGATCTACTTTTGCAATATCCGTATAAAACACTTACAATATACCTCTGAAACATCTGAAACATTTGAAATGTACGCTTGCAACATGCGCTATCAGCGCAACATCTCTTTGCTGCTTGGGAGAAATGGAGGTTCATCGACGTGTGAAGTTCATCGGCCTAGAGCTCACCGGTGGCGTGGAGCGACTGGCTAGGGGGCGCGATAGCCGTCGAGCGCGACGGCTGAAGCGGAGCAGCCCTCCGTTTCTTCGAGCCCGGCGATGGAGCTTTGCATTGTCAGCGGACCGGCCAAGGGACACTGCAGCCTTGGAGCAGACCGAGCAAGAGGCAGTTGCGGACCGGCCAAGTGGCGCGATGGGGCGGCGGACGGAGCGGAGCTGCCCTCCGTTTCTTCGAGCCTGGCGATGGAGCTTCACATCGTCGGCGAACCGGCCAGGGGACACCGCAGCCTTGGCACGGACCGAGTAGGGGCAGTTGCATGCGGACCAGCCAGGGGAGCGCGATGGGGCGGCAGCTGGCCATGGGGCACCGTGGATTACGGACTCTGAGGGGGGGGGGGGCGTTGGAGATGCCAGCGGACAACGGAGGAACCCCACGGGTGTGGCGTCGCGAAGCACGGTCACGGTGGAGCACGATTTTGCGGCACTGGAGAGCCTTCTGGAGAATGGAGCAACATGATAAGGTTAGAGGCGAGTGTACAAAAGGATACGCCAGTTGGGCTGTTAGGCTGGTGCCGCAGCCCGCGAACGCAACGTCTAGATAATCGGACGTCCTGACCAGAGTATTACTGTAAATAAAATTGTTGTTGTTATTGCATTGAATTGAGTAGGGACCACTACTTTAAATATGACTAGTATAGTGTGCGCGCCCTTGCGCGCGGTCTATTGACAGTTAAAATTCATAAAAATATATGTGGAGTTTTATTACGGCAATTAAGAGCATTGGAAGAATATATACAATATAAGAGATTAGTTATAGAGGTGTAGAAGCATACATAGTGTTATATAGGAACACTATTGCTGACAATCATAGACATGACGTGATCAAAGAACCTGGACCGTTGGATTTGAGTGAGCAAGAGAAAGGAGAGCTTAGAGGATATCGTCCGTTCTTTTCTAATGAGTTATTTCCTGGGTCATGACTGCGGGAGACACTCCACGGGGTAGTTGTAGATAAGTTTTGAACCGGTGAATTATTAGTGGAGATTGATGCGTGGGCCTATACAGTATATCACCGTGGGGGTAAACCAGCGTTGTTAGAACAGAATCGGACGCTAATTTTGCTACCGTGGATAGCCTGGGAGGCCACCTTAGCCGGTTTGTAGAGATTAAAAATAAATAAAAATAAATAAATGATGAATGAACAAGCCAAGAGGAAAGGATGATTCAAAATGAGAGGTGATCAGATCAGGCAACTAACCGTTTCATCACTGTACCGATATGTTCAAATGGCTTAGTCTTCAAAATGCAAACTGTGGTTTCATAAGTTCGACACTTGCTTTGGAGGCAGATGCATTATCAGGCTTTCATTTGTATCCACACGACAATCTATAAGTCCTCAACAAACCAGCCAGGCATGACAATTCTGAGTGTTATATACAGCACACAATTATTCCAATCCAGCTATTTACAGCCAATATAGATACATGGATTCACACTGGTGCAAACCACCACAGACAAGGAAACTGCAATGCTGAAGGGCTCAGCTGATTCGATGATTATTTCTGTCATGATCTTCTCTAGGGTTTGGCATCGACATCATCTTGGTTTACCTGACCCTTCTTCAGTTTCGCCACAAGAACCCACATGTTCGCAAGCTCTCCTTCCAGGAAGGCTTCCTTCTGCTTCGACTCCTCGATTTTCTTCTGGAGCTCCAACTCTCTTTGGTCCTTCCCCATAAGCATGACCTCCAGAGCTTGTTCCCTCTCATAGCTAGCATGAACATCTCTTCTACTAGCTGGGTCAAGCCGTTTATTATAGCTATCCCTTCTGCCAACCCTTTGACCATTGCTCACTCGTCGTTGTGTTGAATTTCTTGCTAAAGCCAACTCGTTCACGAGCCTCTCGTTGTGGTCCATGAGTTTGGTGACCTCCCCAGACAGTGCTTTCAGTTCCACGCCTGCAGCCAAGGCCAGGCCTTTTGCGTACATGCTTTCCTCTTGCAGCTTCTGATTGTGGGCCTCTAGTTGAGCTTTGGCCTCAGTGAGCTCACACAATCTTTGCTTCAGTTCATCAATATCTGACTGACGAGAGAATAGATAATGTTAATCTAATCAGTTAAAATACCAAAATAAGTGATATAATTGAACAAATCAGTCAACTGGGGTGATGGTATTAGATAAATGGATCATGAAAAAACGTGCTTAGCAAATTTTTCAATTGGCAAGACAACTTTTTTTAGATAATGGAAGACTAGCTTTATCCTCACAAGCGAGAAATCAGACCAAAATTATTACAGGACACAAATGCTTAAAACAATAACACTCATAAGCCAAATAAAATTAGTTTGTAATCCTAAAGACATAAGGCCACCCATGGAGGTGAAGAAGGCCATTGCCACTGACTCCAAACATGTGATAAGCAAAGACGATGCGACAACTAGTAACTAGTAGTTATGTTTCATAAAAATGAACAAAGGTACCATTTATTTTTTTCAGCAGATACAAAGGTACAGACTTGAATAAAGCCTATCACAATTAAAGGCTCACGACACTGCATTACCATTAAATGTTAGAGCATCTGTGAATGCAGAATGCCACTTCTTATGCCCCTACTCGAAGCACCATTTATCACTATTAACCAAGAGAAATATTATTGATTACACTGCTCTTTGCACTAATTCGTCGAAAAAAACACTGCTCTATGCACTTTAGTACCTCTGAATAATATAGCAGAGTAGAATTTTATGATCAACATCTCAGATAATTCTTATCATAAGATACAGTACAAATCCAATTATGTGCCAAATACCTGCCTAGTGGCTACAGCTTCCCATTAGCAACACATAGAAATTAGGCTAGTTACATGTAAAAACTTATAATACTAATACTCTCACTGTCTCACATAGTCATGTTGGACCAATTCAAATTCCTCAAGTCTAGCACAATAGCTACTACAACAAAAAACCACAGTTGACCAAAATGATTTTGAACCATAGTGCAGAGAAAAGGCAAACCTGCTCTGCTTTTTGATGCAGTTCATCAGAGACATCTATAGATGCTGGATTTTCTTTGTGAACTTGCGATCCATTTTGAAGGCTGATGTCTGTGTACTGCTGAAATATGATGCTTTCTGACAATAAATCATTAGCTTCGAGAGCTTGGGAAAGCTGTTCGTGTAAGTGGGCAACTGCTTCTTGTAATGCCTGACACTCTGTTGTCTGATAACAAGATAATGTGGAACGGCATAAGATTGTGGGCTTTTTGGTTAACTTAACTTACAATCAAACTATTACCTTTTGCTGTAGCTGGTCTTGCAATACTCTGTTATCTGCTGTCTTCACCTGCAATAAACAAAAAAGGAGCCTTTGTAAATACAGGCAAAACAAGAATGGCACACGAGCACTGAAAAAAAGTCTCTCTCAACACTTCGCCACCTCTTGAGGGTCAAGGATCCTAGGGGAGCTTATTAACCATGATGCACTTAAGGGGAAAATTAAGTTACCTTAAATACTCCTAATTAGTTGTGTGGTGGACAGGCAAGTATGAGAAAATTAAACATGAAGCATTTGGGGGCTTTAGTTCTCTACTCTAGGTACTCTGATTCCTTTGTCTCCAACTCCAGGTTCACCATGAACAAGGGTAACCTGCTATCCATCTTTTTAAGGGAAAATACTGGTCCCCAATATATGCAAAATGCAAATGTTTATATTCATGAAAAATACATTATTTCGTTCTGGATCCATTTTCCTAATAAACCAATGTAAAAATACATAAGAAAATGCACGCTCTGAGAAGAGTTTCGGTACCTCAAGTTCAAATGCTTTCTCATTGACCTGCTCCAGTAGCTTAGTGTGAGACTGGAAAATCATTGCAACAGTTTAATATGTATCAATTCAGAGACAAAGTAATTGAAAACTAATTGACTGCAGATAATATACCAGTGTATGTTCTAACTGGTCAAGCTTCCCCTTAATCTGCCTTTCTAAATGTGCTATCTGCTGCTGCTTGCCCTTAATCTCGTCACTGACCTTTTTCATTTCCATCTTCAAATGTATACAGTTTATGGTTTTCAACAAGAAAACCTACAATAACATACTGAATGTGCAGAAAGGGAAATTACCTCGATATGACCATTCGTTGTGCTTCTTCCAGCTTCTTCCATGAGGCGCTTTAGAACACTTTTATGTAATGCAACCTCCCCTGACAGGATCTTCAGTTGCTCTCTCAATAGATCAACATGATCTGATGTTTTTCTGGTGACCTGTCACAATGACATGTATCAGATGGTAACAGCACAATTTGTCTATTACTCAAAACAAACAAGATACTGAGACATTTGAGTCGATCAAGTGATAGAATAGTTTATAGACTTCAAGAACTTTTTAGTTGTTGGCACATGGTATTATTTTTATTATGAACAAATGCTGATTGCACAAGGAAATTGCACTTTTATCTACTCGTGTGTTTACTTTCATATTGACAGCCATCTACTGAAAATTTATCCTACAAAACAACTCAAATTTTGATTTGGGTTATCAAGGCATTACATGTACCACTGCTGGTAGCTTCTGAAAAAATAAATACCTTAGGTGGATTCAATAATTTTGATTTGGGTTATTTAAGGCATTACAGGTACCACTGCTGGTAGCTTCTGAAAAAGAAATACCTTAGGTGAATTCAATACATTTAATGCAGTGAACTTTTTAGCACAGAGACTTATCACATTGTTAACTTTCCAGAATATTTATGTATCCTGCATTGGTTCTGATTAGATGTGTATTAGAATAAACAAAGAATGATGTGCTCATATCGTGTACCAAAGGAGCTTCTTCTCCATGAAGTTCATCAGAATGAAATTCTTCATGGTCAACGCTCAGCAGGTTAGCTGATACATTCTCAGGAAGCAAAGAGTTAGACATCCCTTGCTCTGTTTGAGAATTAAGTCCATTCGCCAAGGGTGTTGAAGGGGCAGTCGATGCTTTCCTCAGGCTAGATTGGTCACCACCTAAGCTTGGAGCATTAGAACCACCGTCATGTTTCTGGTTACAGTTCAGCATGTAAATGTTAGTAAGCAAGGTTCTATACACAACAAAAGAATGCAATCTGCTTACTTTTTCTGTTCTTGTATATATCTAACACGCTTCAAAAATTTACATTCCTTAAAATTAAATCTTCATGGTGTCACATATACAGCCATAGGAGTATTGGGCATCAGTTACTAGATGAAATGCTACATGTCGTACTTAACTGTCACCATACTGAGAATAGCCAATGCAGTGGATTATATAGTGTCTGATTTGTATACCCGAAGTTTGAACCAGTTAAGAAGCCCTTTGCGATTCTTATTCTCCCCTTTGGAAGAAGCTTCAACTGTTTCATCAAATCCTTCCATAGGAACAAATAAATCATTGCTTTCACCATCCAATACGATATCTCGCCTTCTGTGCGGGAGACATGCCAACTGCAGTTTTAGCAGATAAAACTGGGAAATTAATGCACTAAAACTAATGAAAAAAACAATATATATTAATATACATACAATTTGACAGTAGCTGAAAAGTTTGGTAGTGTTATCTTAACAGTCAGACCTCCTCTTCACCAAAAGAATGTCTTCTCCTTGGCCCAGGACGTTGAGACAATCTAGGAGTCTGAGTTGCTTTTGTGGAAACCAGGATTAGCTTTGTTAGACATTGTATCCTCGCAAGCAAAGCAGCTTTAGCCGCCTCTTCTTGTTCCAGTCTAGACTGGAGTTTGACATTACCATCTTCTAGCTTTTCAAGTGATGAGGAATTCTCGTTAGAATCTTAGGATCCACCAATGAGGCAACGAAGTGAAGATAAGGTATTAGGTAATAGTGCTAACTAATTCTAAAGGAAAAATTCACCCAGATTTTGTTAACAGATAAGGTAGTACTTCCTTCAGAAACTACAAATAAAGTGAAAGACAAAAGAATGCAAAAATACAATGCATTACAAACCAATCACCTTCTGTTTCCAAAGAATGACATTGTCTTCTGTGGCATCTTTTGAAGGAGTGCCAGAAAGTATACTCCTTTTCAGTTGGTCTAGCTCTTCCTTCAATTGGCAAATTTCATTCTGGTACTTCTTTATCAAAGACTTCTCATCCATAATCTGCAAACCACAATTGCATTTTGCAAGTACAAATAATTAGTCAAATGTACTAATATTTATATTGCAAGGTAATAAGTTGCGGAAAAATATATATATAAAAAAGCCAACCGAGGAGGAACTAGGTGGCATTTTATCAAGAAGAAAATAGGCACCCAAATTTGCCTCAGCTGAGGACTTGAACTTGGGTGGTCTGGGTATATACATCCACACGCTCGACCACTGAGCTAGCTCAGCTTCTTTCGCAAAAAATTATGATAAACAAATATGCAGAATCACCTTGTTTTGTGATACTTGAATCTCAATGTGCTTTGCACGGTGGGCAAATTTTAACGTGTTATGAGTCTCTTCTGAATTGCTTGATGCTGGAGTAACAGTGCATATTAGCTGCAAAAAAGGAAGTCAAAATGTAAAAGATTGAGATAATAACAACTTAATCTAAGTAATAACCTGAGAAGCAACTTACAGAAACACGTCCCTGTCCACTTAAGGATGACTGTAGTAACCGTGTCAATTTGGAATCTCGAAATGGAACATGTGTAGCTTTTCCATCAGTCAGTTTTGATATCACCTGAAATATGCAAACTAATTTCTTTTATCAACATGGTTAGCTAACATCTTGCAAATAGAAGAACACAAAAAGATAGACTCAGCTTAATAGATTGGCCATAAACCATTGGGTAGAGAAGCATTAACAAATCACATGAAGCAGAAATACTTATGGAAATCTTTTCTCACAAGTCTCAATTGTTGTCTCCATGCTTATAAATGTCTCTGGTCAGTGGAAAACGAAATGCTGCATATATTGATGCAACCTGTGTTTCGGGACTTTGGATAGTTACATATATCCATCCAATTCCAGACTTTTAATGAACTCATTTTTGTTTGAAATATGAAATATAAAAATGAAAACAATTAACCTATGCACGATATGCACAAATAATACATAGGCAGCAATGCATAATCTCAAAAGCATGATTGCATGAACACAGCATCTACCATACTGCATTAATGGTGATATTACAGGGACATATAATCTGAGAGTGATTAGAGAATGAGGCCTACCGTTCCAAGAGTTAGCAAGCTTTTATTGATATAAGATCCTTCCTTCCGGCGTGCTCCCGTAGTTTCGGCCCTTGAGCTCTCTGAACCTGCCAGATCGATGAGGTTCTGCAAATGAGCAAGAAAACTAAGAAACCAATCTGTAGTCCGCCGGAACACACTAGAAGTGCACATGAAACAATATATGATGCCAAGTGTAAATGAAATGTAGATGTGTCATATATCTAGAGACTAGAGTCAACTATACTGGTAAATGAAATGCATGTGTAATATATCTCGAATCATTTATAGTGGCAAGGCAGAGGAATGGATCAGAACTTCAGAAGAAACAAACACAAAGGAAATACGAAGATGATCCCACCAGCTGTGAGAAGGTAACTGCTTCCTCTTCACTAGATACACCGCAGGGGCTGCTCTCTATTGTCTACACATGAAACAGTAAACTAAGCAGTGTTAGAGATTTTACAATGTGAAATGCAGCCATGCAAGAACTTTAGTCCCATATATTCAATAAGATGCTGAACTCTGTGCATGAATCTCAACGTAACATGAAAGGCTTCATTATTACCAGTGTGAAAATTGTATGGCTTCTGCTGCTTAGCAGATTGAAATTTGTGGATCCAACGTGTCTATGTTCTGGAAGTGGAACAAACACAATAAACTCTAAGTAAATATGTCAAGTGTTCTTGAAATAACGTAAAAAACCTAGTGATCAATAAATTCCAAAGTACCACTTACTAAAAAAGGGTAATTAGATATAAATCAAATTGCATTCTGAGAAATGTAAACCAATGTCGCATATCTCTTCAATAAATAGCTGGCACACCAATAAAAGTACAGGTAATCACTTAACTTAGATGCAGTTTTGGTTCACAATGAACTTTGAGCACCACAAGATCTTACTCCTATTGAAGAATGCCAAGACAAGACACAAATCTTCACTCAAGATTAAAAAGGAAAAAGGAACTTTCATAATTCATTAAAAAACTTGACCACAGGGAGAGTTTTGAATTCATAAATAAAAGGTATAAACCTGCTGTATCTATAATTGTTTACAATCATTTTTTTTTTCCGACCAATTCAGGGGAGCGGCATTGTTTACAATCATATTGATTCACAAGAATAAGAAACAAAGCATATGCTACAGCAAATCATTTGTTAGGTGGAATTTTGTTTTCCATTATTGATTCTCACTGCATTTTGTACCATCAGCTATGAAGTATGACTGCAGTAGCTTGTTATATAACTAATTCATAAAGGGATACAGGAGTGGGTAAGAGTTTGCTATATAAGGATTATCCAATAAAATAATTAATCATTCTCACATTCTTTTTCCCTGGTGAAGGGTGCTGTTAGTTACCGTAGAATAACACCGCACACCCTAATCAGGAGGGGGGTGGCCTTCATTATATAGCCTAATAGGCTAGGGTTACAATGTACACGGGCCAATGGGCCATACGCCCAATATGGGCTGTTATAATTACATTCTAACACCCTCCCTCAGTCTAAGCGGGAGTGTCACGAACACAAAGACTGGACCTAAAGTCAGTGTCAGTGAACAACTGTACAGGTAACCCTTTGGTCATAATGTCCGCGAACTGATGAGATGATGGAACATGGAGCACCCGAACCTGTCCCAAAGCAACCTTCTCACGAACGAAGTGAATATCTATCTCAATATGCTTCGTGCGACGATGATGAACTGGATTGGCGGTCATGTAGACAGCACTAACATTGTCGCAGTAGACGATCGTCGCCGAAGATATGGGTGCATGGAGCTCCTGAAGTAACTGACGAAGCCAACAAGTCTCAGCCACAGCGTGTGCAACAGCACGATACTCAGCCTCCGCTTTTCGAACGAGAGACCGTGAGTCTGTCGCTTAGAGGACCAAGAGACTAAATTGTCGCCGAGGAAGACACAAGACCAAGTGGGAGCGCCGAGAGTCGGGACAACCAATTAATCAAAGATCGGAGTAGGCAGTCAAGCTTGTGATGATGCCTGTGCCGATGTGAAGCCCGGTGGACAGGGTGCCTTTGACATACCGCAGGACACGCTTGAGCATCGCAAGATGAGGCTCTCGCGGTCGTACATATGAAGAGGCAAACTCTTTGAATCGCATAGGCAAGGTCCGGACGAGTCGGCCGTGAGGTATCAGAGAGCACCGGCGAGGCTGCGCGATCTTGTGACATCCGCCACCGGAGCGCCGTCCATAGCTGAGAGCTTGGCCTGAGTGTCAACAGAGTCGCCGTAGAGTGACACTCGACCATACCGCGCTACCGGAGCAGTCCACAAAGTCATCGGGCGCCGAGACGTAAAGAGGCCATCGCAGTAACACGTGATGAGATCCCGAGGAAGTGATGAAGATCCCCGAGATCTGCTGCGGCGAACTCGGAGTGAAGAAGCTCGGTGAGGCGTCGAAGAAGCGAGGTCGACGAGGCTGTCAGGACGATGTCGTCGACGTAAAGTAGCAAGTAGGCGATGTCAGATCCCACTCTGTAAACAAAGAGGGACGTATCGGAGGCCGATGCTGTGAAGCCGGACCGCCGGATGAAGCCGGAGAACCACCGGTGCCACGCCTCGGGCGCTGCGCTTGAGGCCGTATAAGGACTTTTTGCAGAGGCAAACATGGTCGGGAGCTGCCGGGTCGACGGCCGGGCGGTTTCTTGACAGATGAGACCGTCTCGCTTCAAATGGCCGTGGAGGAAGGCGTTTCGCCCGTCCCGTGATGGATCGGCCAGAACGAGGCGGCGATCTTGAGGGCGACCGGATGGTGGCCGGTTTGACAACCGGACTGAACGTCTCGTCGTAGTCGATGCCGTACTGCTGCGAGAACCCACGAACGACCCATCTGGCTTTATGACGAGCCAGAGAGCCATCAGCATGATACTTGTGCTTGAAGACCCACTTGCCGGTGATGACGTTGGCTCGAGGCGGTCGAGGAACGAGACGCCAGGTGCCATTGTCCATGAGCGCCTTATATTCTTCAGCCATCGCCGCACGCCAATTCGCATCGGCGAGCGCGGCGCGAGAGTTGCCTGGCAACGGAGAAGCCAGACTGGAGGCCGCTGCGGTGAAGCCGTACCGCTGCATGGGCGGCGGCAGGGAACCCGTCTGGGAACGAAGTCACCACAGCAGAGGCTCTGCGGTCTTTGGAGCTCGGGCAAGACCGCTTCTGCTGCGATGGGCTGGCAGGTGCCACCGGTGGCGGATGTGGAGCCGGCGAGGGAGGCTGTGGAGCCGGCGGCGGAGCTGAACGACGACTGTAGTGGATGCCGAACCGCTGCCGGGCAGGGGCAGGGGCGACAACACCTGCTGGCGGAGGAGGTGCTGGAGCCATGGCCTGCCGAGGAGCCGAGGGCAGCCGGTGAGCAGGCAGCCGGTGAGCAGCGCCATGCCACAGGATGGCAGGGTCGAGTCCGACGGGATCGCCGGCATCGCCAGCGTCGTCTGAGCCAGACGAGGCAGGCGCCACCGAGGTCCGCGAGTGCCGAACGTCTGAGGTAGACGGGGCAGGCGCGGGAAGTAAGTCCTGTAACAAAAAATCAAGAGAATCCGGTCGAGGCTTGGAGGCCGCAAACGGAAAGTGAGTCTCATCAAAAACGACGTGTCGCGAGATGATGATCTTGCGAGTGGAGAGGTCAAGACACCGGTAACCCTTCTGTGATGGAGGGTAACCGAGGAAGACACATGCCGTGGAGCGAGGAGACAATTTGTGGCGAGTCGTGGCACTAAGGTTGGGGTAGCATAGGCAGCCAAAAACCCTGAGGATGGAGTAGTCTGGCATCTTGTGGTGGAGGAGATGATATGGTATACCGTTATTTTTGGACGAGGATGGCCGCCGGTTCGTGAGGAACACAGCGGTGGAGAGAGCTTCGATCCAATAGGATGGAGGCATGGCGGCATGAATCAGAAGCGTGCGAACACCATTGTTCAGAGTCCGGAGCATGCGCTCAGCCTTGCCATTCTGAGCGGATGTGTAGGGGCACGAGGTGCGAAGGAGAATGCCGCGGCCAGCCAAGAAGGTGGCGGTGGCATTGTTGAGGAACTCGGTGCCATTATCTGCCTGAAAACAGCGGATAGCAAAACTGAACTGTGTGTGAGCGTAAGCAACAAATTGAACAATGTGTTCATGAACTTCAGATTTATGACGAAGAGGGAACGCCCAGCAATAATGTGTATAATCATCAACTAACACAAGATAAAATTTATAACCAGAAATACTCGCAACTGGAGAGGTCCAAACATCACAATGAACAAGTTCAAAAGGTGCTGATGTACTAGAGACCGAACTAGCAAAAGGCAGCCTAGCATGTTTACCGAGCTGGCAAGCATGACAAATGCGGCGAGCTGTTTTATTACACTGGATAGCTGATAGCTTATTTAGAGTAGCGACGACAGCAGGAGCAGGATGACCAAGGCGGGAGTGCCACAGCTCCGGGGAGACGACAGAGACATGATAGCGAGGTGGCATGAGATGTGGAATGGTGTAGAGGTCCCCATGGCTATTGCACCGAAGGAGGACTGTCTTGGTCTTGAGATCCTTAACAGAAAAACCAGAGGCGTCAAACTCAATTGAACAATTATTGTCGCGAGTAAACTGTCGAACAGATAACAGGTTACGGGTGAGTTGCGGAGCGACAAGAACATTATCAAGATGAAAGGAACGATCAGCTATTTGTAAGGAAGATGTGCCACGACTAAAGACAGGAATAGATTGCCCGTTACCAACCGTAATGGAGGACGGTAGTGACGGGAGACGGGAAAGAAGTATACCGTCGTTGGAGGACATGTGGGATGTCGCTCCGCTGTCGATGACCCAGGGAGAAGACCCCTGAACCGCCATCTAATTGAGGGCGGCAATCATGCTGGTCGCGTCCCAGGAGCCGTACCCGTACCCTGGCGACGCGGTGGAGTACTGGGCCGGCGCGAAGGCAGTGTGCGCCTGCGGAGGGGGCGGCGGCGGTGGAGGAGGCGCGGATGGCGCGCCCCACTGCTGCTGCTGAGGAGGCCACTGCTGGACGGCCCAAGGGTTATAGCAGACCCAAGGACCGGCCGGCTGAGGAGCCTGACGTCCGCCTGGAGCGCCCTGGTGGGCGCCATGCTGCTGGTTGCGCCCGCCGCCTCCGTTGTTGCCGTTGCCGCCACGCCCTCCTTTGCCCTTGCCCCCCTTTCCCTTGCCACCACCCCCACGGTTGGATGGCGCGGGAGTGGGCCGGCAGGATGGCGAAGTGCAAGAGGAGGTGGAGGAGGCGACGAGTGCTGATGCCGAGGCCTCCTTGCCCTCGGAGCCGAGGCGAAGCTCCTTGACACGGAGCATGTTGGTGGCAGCCGTGAAGTCCGGGAGCGGCGACGTGTTGGCGATGATGTCGGCGGTGGTGGCGAAGCGAGGATTGATGCCGCGCAGGAGGTTGAGCACAAGCTGCGTGGGAGAGATGGTGTGACCAACCTCCCGCAGGGCGTTAGCAGTATGCTTCATCTGTTGGGCGTAGGCATCGACCGAGAGATCACCCTGTAGCATGCTGTGGAACTCCTGCCCGAGGACGACAGCGCGAGGCTCCTTGTTCGCCTGGAACAGGGCCTCGATGGAGACGTACAGGGCACGCGCGTCTTGATCAGGCTCCATGGCGAGGTCGAGGACGGTGTCGTCGCAGGAGCCGTACATCCAGCCACGGATGCAAGCGTCGGGCTGAGACCACGTGGGGTCAGCCGGGCGCGCAGCCTCCGTGCCATCGATGTGGCCGAGCAGCCCGTACTTGGCGCAGAGGGCGGTGAAGAACGCCTTCCACTTGGAGTAATTGGGGCGCTCGAGGCTGAGGGCGATCGGGACGTGCTGCTTGACGTTGACGGCGGCATAGGCGGCGTAGAAGGCAGGGGCGATGCCGTCCCCCATGGCGCCGAAGGTTCCGGAGCCGAGAACACCGGAGGTAGCAGAGGAAGTCGTCGAGGACGTCATGACGAAGTCGACGCGCGTGGCCTGTTCGCTAGAAGCAGGGGCGCGGGAAGGCAGCAGCCTGTGCGACGCGACTCGCGTCGGGCGGCAGAGGCGGCGGCCTGCAGGTGCGTCGCGCGGCTGAAGGCAGCAGCGAGCGGCGCGGCCTGAGCAACGCGATGAATCGCGCGCGGAGGCGGCAGCGGCTGGAGCGGACTAGCGCGGCAGCGGCTGGAGGGGCGCGCGGGGCAGAGACGGCGGCAGCCCTGTGGTGCGGTGGCGCGTGCCCTCGAGGAAGGGCACACGGGCAGCGGAAAAAGGAAGGTGGAAAACCCGGGATCAGGCCCCCAGAACTCGTGATACCATGTAGAATAACACCACACACCCTAATCAGAGGGGGTGGCCTTCATTATATAGCCTAATAGGCTAGGGTTACAATGTACACGGGCCAATGGGCCATACGCCCAATATGGGCTGTTATAATTACATTCTAACAGTTACAATAGTCATCCTTATGGCTCAGCGACCAAGAGGCCATGGAATTCAAATGGTGGAAACCCCACAAATGAAGCCTTATTAAGGCTTATACTCTGATAGTCAGGATACTGAAATAAACAAACAATTAAACCATAATGAAAAAAATAACCTTCTCCGGCTGTAATAAGGGACAAAGCATGTGCAGGAGACAACACCACTTCTTCTTGTATGCCCTCAACAAATGTTCCCTGGTAATAAACAATCCATTGTACTGTCAAAAGTCAAAACCATCATATGCCATAGTTATATTCAGCAATTTGCAGCCTATGTGCTAGTTGCCATGAAATCAATGAGATTCTATTCAAATTCAGATTTGACTCTCACTAGTTAAGACTGTTGCATGTATAGACTTCAGATACTAATAAAAATATGTCAAACCTGAAGATCCTCCCTAATCCGTAAGTTCTGACCTGAAGGATTAAGAAGATCGTTGACAACCTATAAAACATGACCCTCTCAATCAATACAATATAAATAAAAGCAGAAGAATCATATGCAATTTAGTTGATAAGTTGATGAACGGTAGTTATAGCAGTCAGTGAGTTCAAACAACATAACGACATTCAGAGATGAATTTCAGGTACGTAGGTCATAATATGCAACTCCTAACTCTGAGCAAAACATCAGTAAACAAGGCAGGCATTTTGTTAGTATCAAAATGTTATTGCAAACTTACTAGCAAATTAGCAATATGGATCAGTGACCTCCTAACGCTATGCTTCTATTCCATACTAGTACCAATGAGACACCATATAAGTCATAAGTCATGTTGATGAATAAAAAAGTATTTCTACAAACCCCTTTTCACCAACTTGGTAGTAGTTTCTTTTCCCAAGGTTCTGAAGCTATGAGCAGAAGAAAAAACAAAAACTGCATTAACCTAATGTTGTTCTGCTATTTATTTTGGAAAGTAAACCTTAGTTGGGCTTGGCACCATTAAAACAATCAAAGGGCACAAACGTGAAAGCCCCTTCCCACCTCGTCCTTTGCCCTCAGTTTACTAGTATGACCAGTGGAGTAAGCATAATTAGGGATGACTGACCTCATTATAGATTTCCAAATATGATACACGGAGAAGAAACTCTCGATTTGGAGTCTGTGAAGAAAAATAAATTGGGTACAGATGCAAGTGAATAGGCCATCAATCATGTAAAACCAAAGACTTGAATGAAGATGTTGATGTCAAACAATACCTCCTGTATTATACTAAATGCATCTTTCACAGCCAAAGGTATGATCCCCGGGGATCTTTGATCTCCCTGCTCATAAAAATAGTGTATACTGAGAAAGTAAGAAATGTTTTCTTTTTTTCTCGAACACACAACAGAGCTGTGTGTCATTGTATTAAGAAGAAAATCGGTCCAAATACAAGCCATCGAACGGCACCGTAGGAAATGTTTTCAACCATGTACACACTACAGTTAATTCAAAGTTGGGAAAGAGAAATGCTGTCAACAAATGATATGCTCAAGGCAAAGACAGCAGCTATCTTGTTTTAGGAAAGGGACATATCACAGATCATCAAGCCAAAAACTATACATGAGCAGTGAGAACACATGATGTTACAAACAAAACAAAAGGCTGAAAACGTCACCAGATCTATATGTGAAATGGAGGCAAAACGTTAGATTGCACCCATGGGAAGTCTACAAGAAAGCGACTTAACAAAAGGTTTAAATTGTACCTATTTTACTCCAGGTTTTTGCATGTTAGTTGTTAGCATGAAGCATACTTCAAAGCACAGGACTAGAAACATACACTCTACAGAAGTAAAACTAAGTAAACAAAAAATATTGCAATAAGTTTTCCCACATGCATTGTATGCGTCTTCCCACTGCTTGTAACTCCATATGCGAATATTGTACCTGTGACAGTGAAGTGAAAATTATCAACCAAAAAAAAAGGAAACTATTCATGAACAATAACAAAACAAGTGTGCCATGATCTCATAAACTCTGTACTAAAAACATTTTCAATCAATGAACTTTCACATGGATTGACATTGTGCACAGATTCCACAACCTACCCCAAACATTTAGTAAAAAGCAATCAAACAATTCAAAAGCTGTAGTTTACTAAAAAAGCCCAGAAAATAACATTGATTCTTGTAAGCACATTAGACTGTTATTCAAAGGAAAAATACTACATGGACAAGAGAACAGAACTTCAATTACCATTTATTCCCTCCATGGCACCACTGATAACATGCAGAGCTGCAGCATCATGTACGTGTCGGGTTGTTGTAGTCGGTCCGAAGACTCGATCTTCATATGAATTTCGTATTAGCCTCAGGCGAAGAAAAATTAAGTGAAAAAAATAAGCAACGTGATTTTTCTTGAAATTAATAAAGCTTCCCATTTCCAAAAAAAATGATATTTCTTCCATCCGTTTGTGATATTTAAGTACTGTCTTCCATACTAAAATTATAAAGTCCAGTAATATTGTGATCCACCTGAATACACTCCTGAACCATTTATGCTGAAAACTACAGCTAGGTGAACCGTTGACTAGTAGATGTTAATTCTCGGCCTCAAGAAATGCATTCACGTGCCACATCTCCACTAGTCAGACTCATAAATCACTCTTCTCAACCAAAAAGAAAGAAAGAAAGAAAGAAGAAAAGAAAATGTCACAAATTACTCATTCTACTGGCAGTGTAGTATCTTGTGATGCTACAAACTCGCATTTCCACTTCAAAGTTGATGGAACCCATCAAATCGCAAACCAAGCATCCATACGAGTAACTATAATTCTTCGATAAACAGAAGTGTGATCCATCCATCCCCGGAAAACCCGGAACAGGTATCGGGCACATACCGTACGCGTAAGCGATGCTGTGATTTTGCTCGCTCCGCACAATGGTGTCCCCATCCGCGTACCAAGCGATCTCTTCCCCCAGCCGAACCTCCCGCGAGCTTAACACACGCAGAAAGAGAGAAAACACACCAACGAAATCAATCCGCATTGCCCAAAGCCGAACCCGGTCGATTATAATAACACGAACAAACTGCAGCCACGTGCGGCGAAGCAGGGGACCCAACCCAACCTGAGCGGCCGGAAGCGGACGGTAACGGTCACGCTCTCCTTGGCCTCGGGCGCGTCGAGAGGGAACTCCGCCGCAAGCCGCGGCGAGGTTGCCGGCAAGGCAGGCTGCGGCGAGTCGTTCCCCGCCGGCGCCGGAGAAGCATTCCGGTGCCGCGACGCCATGGCGACCGCCGCGGGCGGAGACCTAGCGGAGCGTGGTGGAGCTCGCCATTGGCGCGGGCACGGGCCGCGATGGGTGGTTGTAAACCGCAGGCGAGGCGAGGCGAGGCGCGCGGGTGCGGGTCATCGTTTCGGTTGGGCTCTCGGCTTTCGCTTGGCTTTGAAGCGATGATTACGGTGGAGAGAGCCGGGTCCGGGAAGCGGGTGAAAAGCGCCTTTGTTTCTAGAAGGGCATTCCCTTTTCGGTTAATAATTTTTTCAACCGCTTTTCTCGTCTTCTTTATGGGGAGTAGTGGCGAAGTGCCGTGGTGTGGTGGTGGTGCGGTGCCGCCACCGGGAGCAGCGGTGTGGGTGCCCGCCCGTCCGTCGAGGGTGACGAAACTGACGTGTGGGGCTGCTAAAGTGAGCCCACTGGGGACCCGAACAGAACTTATTGCAATCCTGGACCGGGCCGTCGGGCCAACAAGTAATCTGGGCCCTGTTGGTGGCACCATATGGTTCATCAGTACTATAAAATATAAATTTTGCCAGCACAAAGAGTTGGAGCTGATTACTTGATTTAGTTTGATTATTTTTTCAGTTAATAGATAAATACCCGTGCGTTGCACGAAAAAAATAATATCATCTAATTATTAAAAATATGTAGTTGTATAGACTAATTATTGAATATTATTATAAGAAAGGGCATTGCATGTATCATAATTTAGTAGTCTACGTAATGTTACCTTTGGATATTTCAGGGAGCATAAATTCAATCTTTCTTCGATGATACACTTCACGACGCTTCCTATTAACTTCATTTTGGTGGTCTTCAGTCATTATTGCATGTCACTTCTTCCTATTTATATTAATTTCATTCGTTTGTTCTTCAGTCATAGCTCAACATCGTGCTCTGTCTCTTTGCCTGCCTGTTACGTTCTTTAGGATCAGTGACTTGTGTAAGTAAAATAGATTCACTTTGGCCACCTAATTTGTAAATGAATAGGAAGACAACTAATTAGCACCATTTCCATTATATTCCAAAGCATTCATATACATAAGATCATTATTATTTACCTTCATTGATCGGGTTTGTTAAGTCTCTGAATGGTTTTGAACAATCCTGCCCTTGATTTTCAATAGGTTCCATGTAGGAGAGAATATCTAAAAATGCATGAAAAGAGTCATTAGAATTTAAGTAAAAGGAAGAACACCATTCATGAACCAATTGGACGAAATTGATCAAATTAGAATCAAAAGTGCATAATGCTGAAGGCCTACTTTAATTTAAAGTGTTGCAAACAAATTAGAGGAATATTGTACCCTGAATATATCTACTAAATGTAAACGCACTTGTCGACGGACTGGAGCACCGATGGATGAGAGGCCTCGTGTGGTGGTGTTCGCAGCAATGAAACTACTGTATTTTTTTTAGCAATGAGCCACGATGGAGCTGGCACGGACGAGCCTAGCCTGGTGCTGGCTTGAACTCGGCTGCACCGCCAGACGTTCACAATCAGCACGTCCTGTATTGTGTTTTCACGTCTTCTGCTTTGTTGTTTTTTTCCTAGGTCTGTTTTAAATATATTTTTAAGTTGTAGTAACAAATATAGATAGGGAGCCTGGAGATTGGTACTCGTATTGTATCAGAGTCGACTCGGATTTTTTGACGAGGCACGCGCACGAGCGTATCAGAGTCGCGTTCCCCTCTACCAGTCCTTCGTGCTCTCCTTCCTCTGCTCGGACTTGTCCAGCACTTCGTCGTTGCCATCCACAATGCTCACTTCTTCCTCATGCTCGGCAGCGCCGACGGGTCTGACCGGGTCCGAAGATGCCACGCGCCGAGCTGGCGGTCACCACCACCACGTGGTGCCCGCAGCCGTGGTGCTCGTTTGCAGGATCGAGACACGGACTAAATGGGTAAATAGTTTTGGGTAAATAGTTTTTTTTGTAAAACTAATCGTACTGGCTAACTAAAATAAATACAAGTTAAAACTATCGATCTAACCAAAACTAGATCTCTCTATCTAAATTTATTAGCACCTTATAAATATTATAATTAGACAAAAAAAAATGTGCCGGACTAGTTAGAACTCACCTAACACATTTAGCTTGCAAGGTCACACAAACATATACAACTAGTACTTCACACAATCGAGAGAGTTCCCACATAATTCTAATAAGCAAAAGCACAAAGCCTCTAAGCTCACTAGCAATGCTCAATAATAAGGCTACACAAGCCAAATTAGAGAGCGTAAAACACTTAGCTACACAAATTAAGCAATGTGACTAACAAGGTTACTAAAACCAAATTAACCATATAAAGGAGCTACTTCTATGCTAAAAAGGTAACTAGCAAGCTACACAACCTAACTAAATATAAGAGCAACTACGCAAGCAAGATATAAAGAAGGTAAGAACAAGCTTGTGTTGGTGAATTGCAAACTAATAGGAAGAACAATGTGTCAACAATGTTGACACGGTGATTTTTTTCCTGAGGTTCACGTATTTGCTAATACGCTAGTCCCTGTTGTGTCGATCGCTCACTTGGTGGTTCGACGACTAATTGATATCACCCGCCAACACTCTAGTGTGCTTAGCAACTAGCCCAAAGCCGAGCTCCATCTCTATTTATAGCCCCCAAGCCAAATAGAGTCGTTGGAGCAAAGCTGCTGATTTCTACGAGGTCACCGAATACGGCGGTGCCCCTCCCAACGATCAAATTCCAACCGGATAGGGGTGGCGGTGACCACTGTGACAGAACCATCCAATTTATACAAGATCAAGTACGGCTGTCCCCGCTTAACACGTTGACACGCGCATACTCTCACTTATATAAACCCGGTAGTCCGCCGAGTGTCACGCAGGACCTCGGTAAATCAACATCACAATCAAGATCGCGTGATTAAGCAAATACACATCACATACACAGTTGTTGCAAAATAAAATAATATTACAATTAGGTTCATAAATAATAATACAAGTTTGGATTTCAAAACCGATTAGTGAAAACAACATTTCTTTCAAAGGATTTCATTAATATGAGTCCAAATACATTGCTAGCATAAGTGACATCCTCGGACAAAAGCATGTAGATGAGAAGTGAATATAGAGTCACCGAGCCCACGGTGGGTTAGCCACCATCCTCAAAGAGGTCAAAACCTTACCTGCAACATGGTGGGATAAACCACGAGTACTGAATGTACTCACTAGACTTACCCGTCATAAACCAGAAATAAAATTGACTCCAAGGAGTATGCAAGGCTTTATAAGTGGAGGTAGCTTGACAACAATTTGCATAAAAAGCGATTAACTCAATTATACAATTATAATTACATCATCAAGTTAATTAGAACTATTTATCTCTAGATTAGCAACTATCCTGTGCCAAACATGTGGTATATCGTTTTAGAGCATACAATAGTAACCATAGCAGGTGTAGTAATTCCATATTCATCCGAACCATCATGTTCCATACACGCTTACTACGATGTTGGAGCTAGCCAAGTTTCTCACTATCCGGGAGAGACGGCGATTCAATCGATTTCAACCAAATTGGAATTTATTCCTAACACAAACCCAGTGCAGACTGGATCAACGGTCACCTTAGGTCACCTTTGGTACAACTCAGTACACATTTCAGCGGTCCGCATCACGCCAAGCACGATCTGGGACACCAGATGCCGGACGTTCAGCCTAGCCTCGCCTTTGGGCTCACGATCGCTTCGCAAGGAGCGCGCAATGTAACGGGTCCCGCCTGAGTTGAGCTACTCGGCCAGCGGTCGGAACGAGTTATCCGCCAGCTAAGTGATAGGCATGCGTTCAATCTTGTCGAAGTTCCAACAACGGTGCGGTCCTTGATCGGCACGAGACGGAATCACATGAGTCATCCTCACGCATAGACTCCGCCTCGCCCGGCCTCGATTTTCTTTTACCCCATGGTTCTGTTCCACGATAGCAAATATAGCCAACCGTGCTCCGGTATCCACCTATATCTCGCAGGTGACAGGATATCACCCGACTTCTACCGGTCTAAGCATGGCTAAGCATATATTCGATCCTGGACCTATACCGGTTAAAGGTGTAATATCTGGACAAGGAATTTATATGCATCAAGTGGTTCCATTCAACTCTTATAACCTAATGCATCAATCATAAGTACTTAAGTAATCATTTGTAAAATACTGGGAGACTTAAAATGCTCCGGGCTTGCACGGGATCCGACACAAGTCAGTTCAGTTAGCTTGCACCAACTTGGTGACATCTCCGGTCCTAGCACTTGCTGAGTCCTTCCATCTTCGGGATAGATCCACCAAACACCATCTTCGGGTTTGACTCCACATCACCTCCTTCACGTGGTTTATCTAGCGTACCTAAATGAGATGCAAGATGCAGGTGTATGAATACATGGAAGTGCAATAGGCAATGCATCGCATGCAGTAAGTAAGACAAGCACAAGGTTACATTAACATGCACAAGCACTTCACATTGCTTACTATAAATATCGCACAATTTATCATGCCACGATAGCAAAGAAGATGACAACACCAAGCATGACACAAGTTTCCTAAGATCTCAGGTACTCTAACTCAACCATCATCAAAGGTATGAGCCACACTTAGTAAAATATAAGCAAACAACTATAATTGGAATCTGTCAATTTCTGGACATGCAAACAGCAGCTACAAGATTTAGCTATAACTGGGAGTTACACAAATCCAAATGACTTGCAAGAAGACATTCTGGAAAGCTTATGAAGTTATCTACAATTCATATTTAATCATCTTAGCATGATTCTCAAGTTAATTAAGTCAAATATACCCATTTACAGAAACTGGTCTAAACAAGACAGAGAGCAGCCATTTCTGAAACCCTACTTTAAACAGGCATAACTCATAAACCACAAGGCCAAATACCACCAAATTTTAACAGGAGCTAGATACATGAATTATCTACAACTTTGTTATTATCCCTAAAAACTCATTCAAATCCTAACTAGATCAAACACTAGCATCTTTCAGATC